CTCCTTAGTGCCTGGTAACCACTATTCTGCTTTTTATCTTTACAAATTTGACTATTCTTAGGACCTGATGTAAGTGGAATTATACAATATTTCTGTGTCCAGCTTGTTTTGCTTAGCATAACATTTTCAAGGTTCATCCATATCGTAGTACACTGAGTTTTCAAGAAGCATTTATTTCAGTAAACAAGGTCCTCTATTCAGTATGAGTTTCAGGCAGCTGCTGGTTTTAGGACTAGAGAAAGTTGTCTCTGCCTAACAGATCCTTTACTGTCACATTTCTCACTGCAAACTTCCAAATATAAAAAGAGTGGTCTAGAGAAAAGCAAGTGAGAATGTCATGTCGCTGCCATATATTATGTTGTTCTGAATTAACTTCAACAGTAAAAAATGAAATACTGATTCATTTCTCCCAACAACATTTTGATATGCTCCTTGCACCTCCAAAAAGCCTAAAACTCCTGAGATGGTATTTTTTCTCCAGGGATTGCCTAAGGAATCTGAGGAATCTTTTCTCCTCTTACGGAAGAATTTGTTCATGCTCAGAATAGAGAAAAGGTAGGAAAAGAACCAGAAAAAGGAGAAAACATGTAAGCAGTTTCTCGTAACTTGACTGAAGAACCACAGTTGGAACAATAAAATGACCCAGTGCATTTCTCCCTTCTGGAAGGATTTAATGTTTGATGTCACCGGGTCTTTTCTCCCCTGCATCTGAAGTTCCCTTCATCTAACGGGCTGCCCCAAGGGTATCTCCATAGAGCAGCAATCCTCAGAGAAGCTTAAAGATATGTAGGGTAAGAAGAGCCCCAGGAATGAAGATTTAAGAACAAAACAGAAAAATAAAAGGAAATAGAAACTGGTTCCCCATCTGGATTTGAATGTTCAGAATGTTTAAAATGTTTGCTTTAAGACTAGTCTAGGGTGGGCAAAATATATAATAGCCATATGACTTGTATTCTTAAGGGTAAGAAGCAAATTAAAAAAAAAACAGTTCTGAACAGAAATGAAAAAATAAGATAAACTGCATAGTTTTTAAAGAACAATGCTTACACCTAGAACAGATCTGTCACCTTTCAAACAGTGTGGACTTATTTTGTTACCAATGCATTGATATTTACAGTACCTATGGATAGTCCAGGTACTGAAATAAAATTGATTTAGGAATTTTGTCTGTCTTGTAAGTGTTCTAAAGACATGCACAAGTACACAAATGCGTGCACACACATACACACACACACTATATATATATATATACACACACATGTATATTCTGCTTTTATCATATATATGTATATATATATGTGTATGTGTGTATATATATATATATATATATATATATATAGTGTGTGTGTGTGTGTGTGTGTATAAATGAGTAACCTTTGATTTGTTAGATAAGGAAGGTTTCAACCTTCCCCAAAATGCAGATGGAGAATTTCAACCATATAAACCAAATATTAGCATTTTATCTCTGGAAAGTGTTACTTCATAGTACTTACATAATGGCCTGAATGCTCTAATTTTTGCCAATATATTTTACATAATTTTGTTTGCCATTTTAGTGGCATAGAAGATAAAGGGCACTAAAGAATAGTGCATCAAAATGACTTCTTGGTTCCCCACAGAGCTAAGGATGAAAAGACACCATGAAAAGGCAACAAGCTGCTTCTAGGCAATGGAAGCCTTTTGCAGGAGGAAAGAAAATGAACTACAGGTTTAAACCTAGGAATGTCATTTTCTGAACCTTGTTTAAAATGCTTTCAATCCTTCTAGTGGTTTGTGACCTCCTGGGGTTTCTGGAAGGTGTTTGGAAACTGGATAGAGGGTTAGTTTATGTTTTTAAAAGCCAATACATTTCCACTTCTATTTTATAACCAAGTAATAAGCTGATTATGTATATGTATTATATACACAGACACGTATTTATTTTCACTTCAAAACAAAATTGTCTGAGGCTTTTCAAGAAGGGGATGTGGAGAAGTCACAGGGGCAGGTGGAAACCATCTGGTGGTGTCCACTAACTCAGTTTCTCAGTTGGCTTATCTCTTAGTGGACCATTGCTAGCAACCTGGATGTTTTTAACCATTTGACAGTTTTTCATCACTCTTATTCTCCTTCATATAGTGTTTCATTTATACCCTTAATATCTCTTGTTTTAAAGACAGGAGATAAAAAGAACATGGATATTTAACAAGTTAATGAGAAGCTTTAAAATAACAAGAATTCTACAAATTTACCTCAAGATACTCTGCCAGATTCATAAGTTACATTTGTCTAATCAAAATTCTTGTATCACATATCAAGATGTTTCTTATACAGCAAAAATCAGTGGAAAGGGAAAAATAGTCCAGGCGCGTGGTGGCACACACCTGTAATCCCAGCACTTTGGGAGGCCAAGGCAGAATGATTGTTTTAGCCCAGGAGTTCAAGACCAGCTTAGGCAACATAGTGAGATCCCATCTCTGTAAATAATATTAGAAAAGAAAAAGAGTAAAATGGGCCTGTTATATCCAAATTGGCTTTTTAAAAATCGGCAATAAGGCCAGGTGTGGTGACTCACTCCTATAACCCCAGCACTTTGGGAGGCTGAGGCAGGCGGATCACTTGAGGCCAGGAGTTTGAGACCAGCCTGGCCAATGTGGTGAAGCCCTGTCTCTACTAATAATGCAAAAATTAGCCAGGCATGGTGTGCATATCTATAATCCCAGTAACAGATGTAATCCCAGTTACTCGGAGGCTGAAGCAGGAGAATTGCTTGAACCTGAGAGGTGGAGGTTACAGTACTGTGTCACAGTACTCCAGCCTGGGCGACGGAGTGAGACCTTGTCTCAAAAAAATAAAAATACTTTTTAAAAAAGGCAATAAAAACAACCTGTTCCTTGATGGAGGAAAAACCTCCTTGCAAAGCTCAGTCTGATAACATTTTTTAAAACAAAACTCTAAGAACAAGCCAGTCAGTTAAGTTAAAACCAAATATTAGATTATGAAAAGAGTTTTTGTCTATTTTTACATGATTAGATACAAAGTAATTTCAATCTTTCTTTTAATATGTATTCTGTTCCCAAACCAGACACAAAGCAATTTTAAACTTGATTGTCAAGAAATCTGCTTTCTCCTACATAATCAATGAAAAGTAATCTAAACAGTGTATGTCAGGCCAGGCACGGTGGCTAACATCTGTAATCCTAGCATTTGGGGAGGCCTAGGAAGGTGGACTACTTGAGCCCAGAATTTTGAGACCAGCCTGGGCAACATGGCCAAACCCCATCTGTATTAAAAAAAAAAAAAAAGAGCATATATCTGCAGTCAGATGGAAAAAGTAAAAATATGTAATAAACACATATAAGTAATATTAAAACTATATTTTAAAATAAACTTTATGATAATTTTTAATAATATTGTTATCTATGATAAAATGTTTTACTTAAATTTCCTTCTCTATCATGCCACACAAAAATGGCAAAATGATTAAGGAAGTTTGCACAACTATGTGGTATAGTAAAAGAGGTTTGCAGTAAGAAAAAAAGAGAGGGAGAGAAGTATGGGACCACGGGGATAGTCTCTGTAATCAGCCGCCTAAACCACTCTTAACCCTCAAAAGACTTATGAGAATTAAAATATGTATTATTAGTAAAATAAACCTTCCTTCCTGTCCCTCTGTAATTATCCTTCAGTTTGACGATGTATGAAAGAGAATTTACATATCACTGTTTAATCTATTTAAAGATTAATATTTCCTGTTAAATTAGGATGTACCTCATCTAACAGTAGAATTCAATCAGGCAACAGTTGTGAGGGTAGTTAGAATTGCACATGTGTGAACATCAAATGAGCCAGCATCAAAATTTACAGAATGGCCAGTCATGGTGGCTCACACCTGTAATCCCAGCACTTTGGGAGGCCTAGGTGGGTGGATTGCTTGAGGTCAGGAGTTCAAGACCAGCTGGCCAAGATGGTGAAACCCCATTTCTACTAAAAATACAAAAATCAGCTAGGCATGGTGGCAGGTGCCTGTAATGCCAGCTACTTGGTAGGCTGAGGCAGGAGAATTGCTTGAACCTGGGAAGTGAAGGTTGCAGTGAGCTGAGATTACACCACTGCACTCCAGCCTGGGACCTAAACAAACAAACAAACCAACTTGCAGAATGGCAGTAAGTGACTTGGAAGAAAACTCTGCAAACAAAAATGCTTCTTTTTTTTTTTTAAAACTCCTAGGAACCAAATAAATGGTTGTGGAGAAGGAATGAATCAGACATGTTTAGCAACATTCTTTAAGCAGGAGTCAAAAGTAAGCTAACACTACATAACAACAAGTCCAGCTTAGGAGCCCAGGACCAATGACTCTCAGTTATTTTATGGATTATTTTAAGAAATGCTGCATCATCAAATTCTTAATATAGAGGCTGATACATGGGTAAATGTAGACATCAAAGAGTCTGAGTCAAATGCTGAATGTGAAAAAGTTTTAGAAATACCTAAACCAATTTATTTTGCTTGATGTTTCTTTTTTTTCTTATGCAAGCATGCTATATGAGAAAATAATCTATATTTAATTAAATTTGTAACAGCCCTTTCAATAAGTATAAAATGAACATTCTGATCATATCATAGTTTAAGTTGCTTTTTTTCTTAATGGCAAAAAATTAATGATGCTTCTTACAATGATAGCATCTTAGACTCAATGAAAAGCGGGGATGAAATGAAATTTGGGGATACAGTACTTTACCTTCTTCTCCTAAAATAACTAATGAGCTTGAATGATCTACAATGTTTGCTAACTATACTGTTTTCCTAACTGCTGCTCATTAGGTTCCATTTTAACAAGCTGTGGGCTGTTCTTATTTTTGTTTGACATAGGGACTTTTTTTGGCCCAAGACTTTTAATATCATGTGGTTCTTATTTAACTCTCCCTAAAAATATGTCTTGGGAGGAGAAATTCTAGTAGTTCAGTTTCGCTTGTATGGTTTCTTTGAAAGTGTCAGTTTACTCTTGTTTCCTTTGCTAGGGGTGCAGGCTGCATCTTTATTGAAATGTTCCAGGGTCAACCTTTGTTTCCTGGAGTTTCCAACATCCTTGAACAGCTGGAGAAAATCTGGGAGGTAAGAGAAGAATTCTTCTAAAGAAAATGAAATATCTGCATTTTAAGTTTTGAACCAAAGTTGCCTTGCAGACAAATGAAGCAGTTCATCTGCTTTGAGATGTTAAGCCATATATGACAAATGTAGAAACCGTAGCATTTGCCACAGGCATAAGCACCCTGGGAATCCTTGGTCAGGAGACTAGACTCCCTGTTGTCCCATAGTAGCCCATGAATCCAGCTCACTAAATGACGTCAGGTCTCCTGCTCACCTTCATTATCATTGTCTTAACCTCCCAGGGCAATTTCTGCCATTAATACTCAGACACGCCCCTACCTTGCTACCTCCAGTTCTAATGCTACCATATATTTGGCCCTGGATCTTTGTCAACTGAAAATAAAACACAGAATTTTTAACTGGACGCAGTGGCTCATGCCTGTAATCCCAGTACTTTGGGATTGTTTGAGCCCAGGAGTTCGAGACCAGCCTGGGCAACATGGCGAAACTCCAACTCTACAAAAACATACAAAAATGAGTGGGTTGTGTGGTGCACACCTTAGTCCCAGCTACTCAGGAGGCTGAGATGGGAGGATCAGTTGAGCCCAGGGAGGTCGAGGCTGCTGTTAGCTGTGACTGTGCCACTGTACTCCAGGCTGGGCAACAGAGAAAGATAATGTTTCACAAAAAAAAAAAAAAAAAAAGAAGACACAAAATTTTCACAGAACCCTGATAGAACAGAGGCTTTCCCTCTTAGTATGAGAGAAGTTTGCCATTTATCATGCTTATCCACACCAGGTTCCTAAAGTGTCAAGGTGCCTTTGTGTGTGTGTGTGAGACTGTGTGTATGTGTGGCTCCATTTTTCTTGAGACAGAGTTTCACTCTTGTTGCCCAGGCTGGAGTACAATGGCATGATCTTGTCTCACTGCATCCTCTGCCTCCTGAGTTCAAGTGATTCTCCTTCTTCAGCCTCCCAAGTAGCTGGGATTGCAGGCATGCACCACCATGCCCAGCTAATTTTGTATTTTTAGTAGAGATGGGATTTCACCATGTTGGTCAGGCTGGTTTCAAACTCCTGACCTCATGATCAGCCCACCTCAGCCTCCCAAAGTGCTGGCATTACAGGTGTGAGCCACCGCACCCTGCCTTGTAAACTGATTTTTAAAATACAACATACAGTTAGGCATAGTCATATGTGCCTATAGTCCCTACTGCTTGGGAGACTGAGGCAGGACGATCCTTTGATCCCAGAAGTTTGGGCAACATAGTGAGACCCCCATCTCTAATAATAATGATAATAAATACAAATTTAAAATAAAATTTTAAAATATGACATACTATCTTTGAATGATGACAAAATTTTAAAATGAATTATTTTATGGTTCTTTAGTGTGCAGTTAGCACAACACTTAGAAATTATAGAATAAAGTGAGCAACATCCTTCTCAAGTCCTGATGACTCTTTAGGACTCATAATGCGCCAGGCACTGTGCTAGAAAGAGAAAAAGTAGTAATTTTCTAACCTGCTTGAGATATAGGGGTATAAATAACAACACAGCTGCTGAACTTGATGACTTTCTCATTTTGTCCACAGAGCAAGAAACTACAGACGCAATAACAAAACTGTATTCAATGAACATGGGTCTGTAGATAACATACTAATTTCATTTCTTTGAATACATGCCCCATGCTGGGATTGCTGGATCATATGGTAGTTCCCATTTTAATTTTTTGAGGAACCTCCATACCATCTTCCATAATGGCTGTAGTAATTTACATGCCCACCATCAGTATGTACATGTTCCCTTTTCTCCACATTCTTGCCAACACCTCTTTCATCTTTTTTATAATAGTTGTGAGGCGATATCTCACCATGGCCCTCGCCTGCATTTGTCTGATGATTAATGACATTGAGCATTTTTTTCATATACCTCTTGGCCATTTATAGGTCTTCTTTTAAGAAATGTGTATTGAGGTGCTTAGGTCATTCCTACTACTATAACAAAATACCTTAAGGTGGATATTTTATAAGGAACAGAAATTGGCCAGCCATGGTTGATCATGCCTGTAATCCCAGCACTTCGGGAGGCTGAGGCAGGTGGATCACTTGAGGTCAGGAATTCAAGACCAGCCTGACCAATATGGTGAAATCCTGTCTCTACTAAAAATGCAAAAATTAGCCGAGTGTGGTGGCATGTGCCTGTAGTCCCAGCTACTTGGGAGGCCGAGACAGGAGAATTGCTTGAACCCAGGAGGCAGAGGTTGCAGTGAGCCAAGATCTTGCCACTGCACTCCAGCCTGAGCAACACAGCAAGACTCCATCTCAAAAAAACAGACAAACAAAAACCCCAGAAATTTATTTTTCACTGTTCTAGAGACTGGAAAGTCCAAGATCAAGGCACTGACAGGTGACAGGCTCAATGTCCAGTGAAAGACTTGGTCTCCAAGATAGTGCCTTGTCGCTGCATGCTCCAGAGGGCTGAAGCATGCTGTGTCCTTCCATGGTGGAAGGACAGAAGAGCAAAAGAGCCAGAAAAAGCTGGCTAATTCTCACCAGCTCCTTTATAAGGGCATTAATCTCTGTCCTCGTGTCCTAATCTTCCACTGAAGGCCCCAACTCTTACTACTGTTGCATTGGGGATAAAGTTTCAACATGACTTTTGAAGAGAACACAAATATTTAAACCATGACAAATCCTTTGCCTACTTTTTAATGGGGTTGTTTTCTTGCTATTGAGTTCCTTATATATTTTTTATATTAACCCCTTATCAAATGTATGGCTTGCAAATATTTTCTTCGATCATAGGTTGCCTCTTCATTCTGTTGAATGTTTCCTTTGCTGTGAAGACACTTTTTACTTTGATTTATTCCCATTTATCTATTTTCACATTTGTTTCCTGTAAGCAGGTTAGAAAATTAAACAGATTATGAATAGTTCCTGAATTTGTGTTTTGCTAAACATAGCCTACACAGATGAATATAGGAAAGCTACTTCAGAATCTGCAATAATTGATATTGGAAGTGCATCTTTGAAAGCAATGGGTCCATTCTAAATCTTCCAACCTCTAACCATAATTTGTTCTATTTATCCTGAGATCTCATTCTTAGGAATAAAAACACATTGAGAATTCCTGAATCTTTATTTTACTATTTTTTCTGAAATGCCTTTGAGTGTGTGTATTTACTTCTAAATAAAAACTGTTACCACTTTCTGATCAATTTTAAAAATGAATTCTTTCAATAAGTGTTTTTTACAAAAAAAATCCTGGATTTAGTTCTAAAATCAGAATAAACTATGCAAACTTTGAATCCATTAATCAAAATGCTTTTAGTTTCCCTTCCAACAAAGGCAGATAAACAGCCCCTCAGACCACTGTGGTTTGAAACATAGCACTTACTGGCTGCCTTTTAAGAGCCTTCAGGGAGGGAGTAAAGCAACAATTTTTGGTTTTCAGTTTCCCAGACAGTGAAGGAGAGATTTAGTAATTTTCTCAAGTGAAAAAGAATTCAATAACTTTACAATAGAAACTGAGATCAAATTTCCAAATAAAGTATATTGAAGTTTTGTTTAAACTTTTAAAATCTCAAGCTTAAAGCTTTGGAATATAAGATTAAAAAAATTTTTTTAGTATCCATTTTGTTGGCTTTAAACATCACACAAAGTAACCAACAGTCTGTAACTTTCACCTTAGAGAAAACATGATAGTGGTTGTTATGTATTTCCTGTATTGTTTTCTCTTCACTATCTTTGCTTTCTTTTCATTGCACTTTGCCAGCCAACGGAGGATGTATAAGTACATGTGACTCACACCCACTTGTTTACACATGCATCTCTGCGAATACATAAGACAGTAGGTTAAAAAAGAAGAATTAGCTTCCCATCCCCTGGCCCTCTCCCACAAAAGAAGAATTAGTCCAGTCGGTGTTTCAGAATGGATTCCAGGATTCTTAGTGTTCCCTCGGGCTCAGAGTGGTTGATAGGAAAAGCCTATAATCCTCTCTGTCGCTTTTCAGTTTGTTTAGGGAATGGATCAAAGAAGGATGATTTTACTGGGTGGCATGATTTTTTTATTATATGAGGGAAAATAGCACTTCAGTGTCTTTTGTTTGAAGACAAGCTTTATAGAATCCAAAAAGTATACCTCTCAGCCAGAGTCCTAGTCAATAAGCTGATAGATATTAAGATTCTGAATTCTTCATTGATTATATTCAGTCATTGTTGGGCAGTTGACTCCCTCCCCTAATAATTGCACCAGTATCTATAACCAGCATTTTACAGATGGATTTTCTAGACTCTTTCTGTAAGAGATGTTTCTAAAAAGAGTTATAGTGAGATATGCTTCTATAATGAAAACTACTAGTGTTTTACTAATATTTCACAAAAACAATGTTACTCTGGCTCCCATATATAACTGCCTATGGGTTTTTATGATTATTTTAAAAGAATGGTAAGGTAATGCCTACAGGGGAACTCATGGTGACAGCTCCATCCAAAGTCTGAGCTATTTTGACTTTGTACTCCAAGACTTTATTTTCATAAATCTTAACTAAAATCTAGAGCTTTAACTTGGTAATTCAAAGCATAGGGACAGCTCTTTTTCAAGTGATGTTCTTCCCATGACAATCCATCAGTGAGAAACCAAATACCATATTCCAAGCTGCTGGTCACGAGAAAACAAGCAGATGAGATGAATGTGATAGAAAGGACTAGAGTTAGTTTTGAGGTCATCTTTAGCCAACATTCCATTGCCTGAAGGTCAGTAATCTGAATCCTTTCCATTTGAGCACATCGGGGAACAGCTGAATACCCACGCTGAGGCATAATTTTAGCTGTCAGTGTCTCCTGTCAATATACATATGGTCATCTAACATAAGGCAAAGAGACAGGCACTCCTGCTTCTTTATATTCCTGACTCCCAACATGGTGTCCTAATGAATGACGATCATGCAGTAAATGTTTAGTGATGAGAACATGACTTTAAGCAAGGCTGTAGGATTTGCCTCAGACAAGTCAGTCAGTAAGAAGGCAGGCCTGGAATCATAGAAATGTATTACAGTTTTGCCCAAGAAACCACGAATGTTGGAAACCCTAAAGTTTCTTTCTTACATACATCAGCTGGTTTCATGCAATGGGGCAGATATCTGACTCTTCTCTGTTCTTCCCTGATCTATCCTGCATGTCTCTACACCTCCTCCATCCCTCTTATCTCCCCCTCACCTTTCTTTTTCTTTGTTTGGCTCTATATAGGTGTTGGGAGTCCCTACAGAGGACACTTGGCCGGGAGTCTCCAAGCTACCCAACTACAATCCAGGTAATATTGATCTGAGCTTCTGAAGACTGAGTATTAGTAATGTAAGGAAGGAGAGCACTGGCCATGCTAACAGGGTGTTCTTCTTATATTATGAAACTGGCAGCACAGATGGGTCTTGATGAATTTCTACATTCATATATCCCCTGATTAATCTTTGTATGACGAAGACACTGAAATAGTAGTTGATGTTAGAGCAGTTCCCCAGCTCTATAAAACACAAGCAGCAAGCAGAACAGAATTTGAAATGACTATTACTGCAGATTCCACATCCATTGTCAAACACCCAATGGCTCAAAAGAACAACTCAAAAGATGGCTCACCTTTGCACCCCTGACTCTCATAAGTTTATTGATTAGATTGTTAAATTTCATATATTTAAAAAGAAAGCTAATGCAACAGAATAGAGGTAGAGGCTCATTAGGCCTAGGACATGCCAGGTAAGCTGTCTCTAGATTATATTTACTAAGTGTTCATTCATTGCCTCTAAACCTGACACTTGGTCATTTTCTCTCACACATTTGGTCTTTCAAGACTGGCTTCTGGGATAAATTTAGAAGTCAACCATGGGGGAATTCTTTGAGAAGTTTTCTCAAGGCCACATCGAAGGAATGAGGTTAGTCACCTCAAGGATGTTGAGACAGAAGGGAGGAGACAGACACTGAACTACAGAATGAAGGATCACATCAGAAGCTGGAGAAACAAATAAAGACTATGCTGAAGCTGAGCTCTCACTGGCAGGATGAAAAGGGAGGTAGACAGGTACAGAGAAGGACAAGATTAGGGTGGATATGCTCAAAACTAGATTTTCGGCGGGATCTTGGCTCACTGTAACCTCTGCCTCCTGGGTTCAAGCAATTCTCCTGCCTCAGCCCTGTGAGCACCTGCCACCATGCCCAACTAATTTTTTTGTGCTTTTAATAGAGATGGGGTTTCACTCTGTTGGCCAGGCTAGTCTCAAACTCCTAACCTCAGGTGATCCACCTGCTTCAGCTTCCGCACTCAGCCTGTTGTCCTTACTAAATTTAGAATGATATTATCCTAAAAGGGTTTCATGAGAGCAAGAAATTGTAGCTAGAGTTAAAATGTGATTAAAGAAGAAGATAGAAGACATAGGGAGCTGGGCCTTTTTTTCTTCTTTTCTTTGGCATCCAATACTTTTGTTCAAACAGCTATCCATAGGGATCAGGCATCTTGAACCATCAGGATTATGGAAGCCCTACAGCAAGCTAAAGACTACCTGTAAAGTCCTTTCAGCTGCTTTGTGAATAGCCATATCCATTGCTAAAAGGCCTTAAAATCATTTGCAAATGGTTTATGATTTCTAACCATTTTGCTAGAGTGTAGAATCTGAGAAAAATGCCACTCTCTGGTCACAGGGCTTGGAATAGTGCCTGTTACCATTGGTCTGAGATAGAGAAAAAAGAACAAGCTTCTTGTAGAGCCATGGTCCAGCCTGCAAATTGGTCCTATCTCCAGTTGCCATGGTTTCCAGTAGAACTTGGGTCTCACCTTTTCCTACCCTGCTTGTACTTCTCCCTGTCCACGCTGTTCTCTTTTCCCTCAGCTAACTGAGGATGCCAGCAGAAGTGTAGAGTCGCAGATGGATTACAGGAAACAATTTGGATGATGCCAATACAAAACTACTGTGGTGGGCATATGTTACTCCCCAAACTTCAGACATTTGGGTTTCAGGTTGGCCCAGGCAAACAACAGTGATCCTTAATACAAAATGTCTTGGTGAGAGCAATAATCATAGAAACTTGGCCAAAGTGCTTCCCTGCCAGACTGTGTGCTTAATAAGATAACTAGGTTCCAGCAAAACAGAGAAAATATGTTGCTTTTTTTTTCAATTTTCTGTTGTTTCAAAACAACATGAAGTTTTTTTATGTTAGAAGAAAATTCTCCAGGCTCAACATCCATGGGGCTCATAATCAATTGTTTTTCTTGTAAGTTTTCAATTTAATTCAAATAAATCAAAGATTTTCAAGCACCTACTATCTGCCAGGTGCTGTGCATGCGCTGGGCTACCCAGAGGGAGAGGGTGCACTCTCGGATCTCTAATGTTTGGGTTTGGATTCATTCATCCACACTCTGTCACCAGTTCTCTTTGTTGCTGGGGTGCTCATTTGTGAGCCCTGCTTCCATGGCTTGGGGAGTTGTGGCTGTGGGCCAGGCTGAGCTTATGGAACAAAGGGAGTTGGAATCTCAGCCTTAGCCAAGATGTCTACACCTGGATTTGGAACTCTTAAAAGTCCAGCCTATTTTGTGCATGGGGTCAGTACTATCAATAACTCAATTGTAAGGACTGTGTTTTAAAAGGGTCTTCAACATCTGTGTTTCAGGAACATCCCTTTATGTGAGTCAATAAGTTCCTTTTGAGCCACACCCTACCCATCCTCATCCCTGAGCTGCACCACTTCTACACACTTGAACACCAATTATTAAGGGGAGCAGAAGACAAGCTGGGAGCCAGAAAAGTGTCACAGATGAGCGCAGCATTCTGGATGAGCTTCCCATTCCTTTTCTTTTCATTCTAAGTAGTACTAGGAGCCCCCAGACTTTGAATCGGTCAGTAAAATTTTGAGGGAGTCCAATTCTTGGGAACTTGAGGGAACCATCGGTGTCCATCTACACCCATGCCGCCAATTCTAGGCCTTATCTGGACACCTTTAGCAGGACAGCAAAGTTTCCATTTGCACAGCTTTTAAAAAGTCTCCTGATGCTGACCCAGCCAGACAGGTTTCTCTGACAGTTAACTGTGTTCTCAGATCTTTGATGAGCAGAGTTGTAAGTTTTGCAGCCATCAATTCAGATTCTAGTCCCTGGTTAAATCTGGGCAAGGTAAGAGGGTTGTATAATTTTGGAAACTTGCTTTTCCTTTCTTCCTTCCTTTTTCTCTCCCTCCCTTCTTTCATTCCTTCCCTCCCTCCCTCCCTTCCTTCCTATGTTCCCTCTCTCCCTTGCTCCCTCCCTCCCTCCCTTCCTTCCTATGTTCCCTCTCTCCCTTTTTCCCTCCCTCCCTCCCTTCCTTCCTTCTCTCTCTTTCCCTCCCTCTTTTCCTTCCTTTTCTCTCTTTCCCTCCCTCTTTCCCTTCCTTCCTTCCTTCCTGTCTCCCCCACTCCCCGTTTTAAGCAAGCTAGCTGAGAACTCTATGTCCTCCACTTCAAAGGGCCAGTTGTCTTATTTTGATGTGGGCAGATTGAAAAGTAGGCTTTGAAAAGTAGGCGCTTTTTTTGTTTAATCTTTTCTCCTGGGATAGCTTTCAGAGCAATATATCCAAGTGTCAGTGAGGGGGTTCTGACGAGCATGGATTCCCAGACTCTCAGCAGGATCATTCTCTAACAGAAATATAAAAGTGAAATATTAAAAACCCTGGAACGTGAACTCCATCTGCAGAGTACCCAGTGTCTTGCCTGCTTGCACCATGGGAAAAAAAAAGTCTTGAAAAAAGTGCTTTGAGTAAGAGGTTTACAGGTTTAGTAGAGCATAGTAACATCCCCTCAAAGAAGTGGGTGTTGCTCTGTGACCCCCCAAAATGGTCCTCCTTTGACTCAGCCGCCAGAACACTCACCCTCCTCCAGCAGCACACCCCCTTTTCACATGCTAACTGAGACGTCAGTGATTGGTTGAACAATAAACTGGTCACACTTGCTAAAGGGCTGCCGTCTTTCACACAATTAGCCAAGACACATTAATCAAGCTGGCAGGACAGAGCTTCGAGGGCCTCCTGCTGTGGGGGAGGGGAGAGAGTTTGGTGAGCCTTAATAATACTCCACAGGAAGCTATAATAAAAAACAGCAAGCTGGACGGGATTTTGCTATCAGAAAGTCGGGAGAGTTTGAAGCCCCAATGGATGCTGTGGTTAGAATGGACAGGAGTTGTGGTGCTGAAGAGCAAACTGAATGCTGGTCTTGGCTAACATCTGCTAATAGAAGACAGTACTATGCATTCAAATGGTGAACCCCTATAGACATTTTTACAAAGTTCTTTTAGTCTTCTTAGCTTCCCCTACCACTCCCACGAAAATGCACTCAGGAGCCAACACTACCCTTTGGAGACTAAAGCACTGGCTATGCCAAACCTTACAGTGTAGGTTTCACCATCAGAACCAATAGAAATGAAGAATATACAAGAAGCAGAGAACACCATTCTGGTTGAGATTCCCATTCCTTTCTATTTCATTCAAAGGAGTCATAAGCACCCCCAAACTTTGAATTCAGCCAGTACAATTTGAGGGAGCCCAACTGGGAGCCCCATTGAGGGTTCTCTCAATTTAGACCCAATTAAGAGAAAGTAGTCACTGGAAAGATATTGGTCCTAACTAAGTATCTGAAGGGTATTCAAAATAGTTACTTTCGAGAGAGAAAAATTAATATTTGTATTTTAATAATATTTTCTGATTTTTCTTTTTTCAAATTCCCTTTAAATAGATGTTCCAATGGCAATTCAGAGCTGATAAGATCATACCTTAGAGCCCAGTTTGCTACAGAATCATGTAGGGCTTTTAAGAGAATCAACTAAATATTTAGACATTTCTCAACTAAAGTAAACGGAGGCCTTGCTCCTCTGGAGGTTGTCCAGTCACCATCTCATTAAATGCAAAGATCCTGCGATAAAGAGAAACTTTCTTTTCCTGCCTACATGATTGCAGCCCAGTTGTGGTTTCTAATGTGTCATTGATTGTTTCATCCAACTCCTTTTGCTCCACTGAAAGGGTCTGTCATAGCTCTGTTTGCTTCCTTAAACATGGTTTTTGAAAGCGCTCATGCTGTGTGAGCTCAAATCCTAGCATTAATGTACTGCTGGGTTCATTTCACCACACTCAAAAGCACTGAGTTTAAATCCCTCTCAATTCCATTTGAGGCACCAGAAGACTTTATCCTTCTCCACTAATGGTTCCAAGTTTACATCTAGATACTGGGGGTCAAGGACAGGAGAGGATTTAGAAATAACAGTGCATGACATTAGTCAATGCATTTGCCAAATTGGCAATTAGTTCC